CAGCCCCATCCAAGCCCCACTCACCTTCTGCTCCAACATGCTGGGCAGGGAGTTCCCTCTGTCCATGCGCCCACGTTGGCCGTTCTGGGAGGGCAAAAGTTGATGTCAGCCTGACCTTCACCTTCCCAGAGGGCTGTTCTCTCCCACCTGAACTGAAGCCAAGGTGATGGGCTCCAGCCTGGGGATGGCACACACTCCCTCCCACCTCCAGCTCGTTCCTCTCCCCTCTGGGACTCATCACAGAGGTGTCCCCAGTGTCCCCCACATCATACATCACCCTCTCACTGGGTCTCCGTGCTGGCAGCCAGGTGAGTGCTTACCTGCAGGGCTGGAAAACAGAAGGAGCAGGGATCAGCTCCATGGACCCTCACTGTGTTCCCCCACATTCCTCCCCTGGGTGATGACAAGCCCTGAGAGGTGGTTTTCCAGCCTCTCTAAGCCCAGGCTTGTCCCAGCACTCTTCATGCCCAGGGACATCCCCCTACACATCCCACATTCCTCAGGACACTCACATTCTTCAAGACATCCACACATGTTTGGAACATCCACACATCCCCCAGGACATCTCCACATCCCCTGGGACACCCCCATGTCCTCCTGGACACCTTTGCATCTCCAGGCCATCCACACATCCCCCAGAACAATCCCATACTCCCAGGGGCATTCCCACACCCCCAGAACACCCCCACATCCCCAGGATCACCCCCATTCCATGCTCTGATCCTCACCTGGACTGCCCTTCTCACTCCCTGCTGAGCCAAACTCTGCTGACTGCAGCTGGAAGGGGACAGGAGACAGGGTCAGAGCAGGGCCACCCCCAGACCCCACCCGTGGGGGGTGACCCCTGCAGCATGGGGGGGCAGCTGCTGCCCACTCACCCGGGTGAGGGTGCTCCTGCCTGAGGTGGGCAGCGAGGAGCTCTTGTAGCTCGTGTGCAGGGCTGGGAGAAAGGAAGAGACAGTCAGGTGTGCAGGCAGGAGTGCAGGCAGGGGTGTAGGAGGCAGGTAGAGATGCAGGAAGAGATGTGGGAGGTACAGGCAGGGATGCATGAAGGGATGCAGGAGGTACAGGCAGAGATGCAGGAAGGGATGCGGGAAGTACAGGCAGAGATGCAGCTGGTACAGGCAGGGATGCAGGAAGGGATGCAAGAGGTACAGGCAGAGATGCAGGAAGGGGTGTGGGAAGTACAGGCAGAGATGCAGCTGGTACAGGCAGGGATGCAGGAAGGGATGCAAGAGGTACAGGCAGAGATGCAGGAAGGGGTGTGGGAAGTACAGGCAGAGATGCAGCTGGTACAGGCAGGGATGCAGGAAGGGATGCAAGAGGTACAGGCAGAGATGCAGGAAGGGGTGTGGGAAGTACAGGCAGAGATGCAGCTGGTACAGGCAGGGATGCAGGAAGGGATGCAAGAGGTACAGGCAGAGATGCAGGAAGGGGTGTGGGAAGTACAGGCAGAGATGCAGCTGGTACAGGCAGGGATGCAGGAAGGGATGCAAGAGGTACAGGCAGAGATGCAGGAAGGGGTGTGGGAAGTACAGGCAGAGATGCAGCTGGTACAGGCAGGGATGCAGGAAGGGATGCAAGAGGTACAGGCAGAGATGCAGGAAGGGGTGTGGGAAGTACAGGCAGAGATGCAGCTGGTACAGGCAGGGATGCAGGAAGGGATGCAAGAGGTACAGGCAGAGATGCAGGAAGGGGTGTGGGAAGTACAGGCAGAGATGCAGCTGGTACAGGCAGGGATGCAGGAAGGGATGCAAGGGAGTTACAGGTAGGGATGCAGGTGGTACAGGTAGGGATGCAGGTGGTACAGGCAGGGATGCAGGAGGTACAGGCAGGGATGCAGGAGGTACAGGCAGGGATGCAGGTAAGGATGCAGGAGGTACAGGCAGAGCCACAGGTGAGGAAGGGAAGGGATGCAGGAAGAACACCCCACGTACACGTGTGGAAGGGTGTCCGGTCCGGCAGCGAGCGAGTTTTTCTCCGGATTGGGAGAGATTTCTCCATCTCCTCCTTCAGGATCAGCTTCCCGAGGTTGGAGGTGACCTGGGAATGAGGGACATGGATGGGGATTTAGTGGCAGCACATCCCCAGCCCCTCACAAGGTGCTCACCTTGTGCCTGCTCTGCCCCTCACCTTGCTTAGCTCCTGCCTTTGGAGCTCCCGCAGGTTCTTCATCTCCTCTGTCAGATCCTCATCCTCTTCCTCCCCTCTCTTGGAGGCCATCCTCCTCCTCCACTCTGTCTCTGGGGGAAAAACGGGATGTTATCCCCCTTCCCAGACCCCTGTGGAGTCCCTGAGGGGGACAACCCCCTGTCCCCACCTACCCACGACAGCCAGGGATGGGGGGCATGGCCAGTAATCCGTCTCGATCTTGGCAGGCTGGTTGGGGTCTGGGGGCTGCGCCGCCGGGAACTTGGAGGACTCGATGATCAAATCCTCTATGAGATGCTTCCCGTGGTGGGCACTGGAATGGTGATCTGTGGGGCACAGGGGAGGGTGAGGCAGTGCCTTGGGGTGCCCCATCCCATGGGACAGACCCCAACCCACTCACCTTTCTGCCGGTAGATCGGAGGCTTCTTGTATATGTTGAGCTCTGTGGTGTCGGTCTCTGGAAGGGAAAAGGGGGTTGAGTGGGAGCTCAGAGGGGTGGGAAGAGGTTTGCAGGGACCCCTGAGGGGGGTGAGGCAGTGCTGGGGGTCCTGCTGGCAGGGGGACGTACCGGGGCGGTGGAAGTGCTGGACGCTGCTGCGGGTGGAGGTGCTGCCCTGGCGTGGGGCAGGCAGGGGGGTGCTGGTGGGGGGACGACTCTCCAGCCACTCCCGGATGACCTGTGGGCACACAGGGGTGGTGATCAGCCAGACACCCCCAAATCCAGCATCACTCCCTCCTCCACACACCTCCCGTGCACATCCCATGCCCTACTCACCTCTGGAGACGGAGGAGGAGAGATGGATTTGGGAGACAGGGAGCGCTGCAGAAGGTGAGAAGTATTTTATTCCAGCAATTTATTCCAGCAGCCCCACAACTGTGACCCCTCTGACACCCCCAAAACAACCAAGGGGTGCAGGATGCCTCACCTCCCTGCTCCGGGGCAGCTCCACGTGCTCCATGAGTGAGTAGGTGAAATGAGGTTCGTAGATCATCAGGTCAGGGCGTTCAATGTCCAGGATTGCTTTGTCCTTGGGGATTGCAGCCAAGTCCTTGTAGCCCAGAACCTCGTTGTCCATTTTGGCCTGGAAGGAAGGAAAAACACCTTCATTTGGAGTGCAGAAAGGGAATATTTGGGAATGGGGAGGGCTGATATCTTCCATGATCCTGCCGAAGTGATGGAGAGGGTTTGAGGAGGCACATCCCAACCTCACAGATGGAGGGATGTGGTGGGAAGATGGGAATGGCTTCTTACCACGATGCTGGAGGGTGATCCGGGGACACTGGATCCTCGGGAAGAACAGACGCTCCCAGGGGAGGTCAGTGGCTGCTGGATGGAAAAGGGGAAGATTTTAGCCTGGGAAGGGGCTCAGGGTTCTTGTTGGAACCCCCCAGGGCATGGGCAGAGGGGCCGAGGAACATCCCTGTGCCCTGGGGCAAAGCATCCCTGGGGATGTGGGATCTGTGGGTGGGCACTGGGGGCTCCTTTGCTCCAGCCTTGTGGGACAGCTCAAGGCTCGGGGCAAGGGACAGCTCAAGGCTTGGCCAGGACACGTTGCCACTAGATGGTGCTGCCAGGCTGGGCTGGGAGGAGGAGGAGGAGAAGGAGGAGGAAGACAGGGCCCTACTAACAGCATCCCATGACTCTGCCCATGTCCTTGGCCACCAGCCCCTGCCCTTGGCCACCAGCCCCTGAGTGCAGGGCTCCTCACTGCCTGCATGCCCCCAGCACCCTGCCCACGACCCTCAGCACCCTGCTTATGACTCCCAGCACTCTTCCTGGACCCCCAGCACCCTGCTCACGACCCCCAGCACCCTGCCCTGTACCCCCAGCACCCTGTCCTGTACCCCCAGCACCCTCCTCATGACCCCCAGCACCTTGCCCAAGACCCCCAGGACCCTGTCCTGTATGCCCAGCACCTTGTCCTGTATCCCCAGCATCCTGCTCATGACCCTCAGCATTCTGCCAACCACCACCACCCTTCCTGTACCCCCAGCACCCTGTTCTGTACCCCCAGCATCCTGCTCTTGACCCTCAGCACCCTGCTCATGTCTCCCAGAACCCTTCCTGGACCCCCAGCACCATGCCCACCACCCCCAGGACCCTTCCTGTACCCCCAGCATCCTACTTACCATCCACAGGATCATTCCCACATGTCCCCCCCTTACCTTCTGCAGTCTTTCCATTCAGCTGTGGGCAGGAGGGGTTGTGTCAGTCACAGGGTCCTGTGGGGAGAGCAGGAAAGTCAGGACACTTCCAGGCTGGGCACAGAGCACCCCCAGGTTGGTTTGGGGCTAGGTGCCCATCTCCCACCGCCATCCTGCCATGGGGCTGAGCTCAGCTGCCCCCCACGCACCAGAGCTCGATGTGGCACGAGGGCTGCACATTCCCACTGCCAAATAGTGCTGTGCTGGTAGCAGGACAGGCCTCCTAGGGGATGCCACTGTCCCCCAGGGTGGGGACAGGCATGGGGCACAGCACACCCTCACTCACCACTGCCTCTGTGGCTCCACATCCCTCTGGATGCCGACACCAGGCTGGGGCTCGGATATTCCCTCTGCAACAGGGATGGGAGAGGTGTGGGTGACTCGGGGGGTGAGGAAGCTCCACCTTGTGCCCCCCACTGCCCCTGCAGACCCCTGTGCCCAGCCTGTGGCCCCTGGCCGTGCCGACTGCTGGCCCCACTGCCCGTGGTGCTGACGGTGCTGGCAAGCAGAGCAGCGGGAATGAAACTCTTTGTCCAGTGGCCTCG